CCACCCGGGAAGGTGATCGGGGAGATCTCAATCTCTGGGGGTGTGTGTCTAGTGTCCCCGATGGCGATGAACTTACAGTCAGGTCCAGTGTTCTTCTTGTCTCCCTCCGAGGGATCCACAGCAACTACCGTCCAGTGCTGGGTCCGGAAGAGGATGTCTTTGACGGTGATAAGGTGTCGCGTCCGGTAAATTTGCCACGTCCGATGATTCTTTCCCCCCACCTCCGCGATACCTGCCCCATTTTTTGCATCGCGCGGGGCAGGTTCGCGCCGCGCTCTCAGTTTTTTTGTTTTTTATTAGTTGTTCCCTCCAGTACCCTCTCCCCAGATCCATTTCCCACGAGCCCCTGGCGTGGGTGGGCGGTGGGACAGTCCCTCGCCATGTGACCCAGTTGTCCACATCGGTAACACTGAGTAGTTCTTGCTGGTGGAAGGATGAACTGGCCCGACGGGTGTTGGGTCACTGCCGCTGTTGGTGTTCTCCTGGCCGCCTGTGGTGGTGGTGGTACCCTGGACGCCCCCACTAACGGAACTTTCTTCTCACATGCATCAATGAGGACGTCCAAGGTTGGCGGTGGATACATGGGCAAACTAAATATAACCTGTTTGCAGATGTCATTACAGTTCGCCTTAGCCATTTCTAAGACAAGCTGCTCTTGTAGCTCAGGTTTATCAACTTGTCTTTCTATTTGCTCCTGTAAACGGTTAATAAACACGGTAAATGGCTCATCGGGGAACTGTTTAATATTTGAGAAGTTGGCCAGGGGTTCCCCCCCTGTCAGGATGTTAAATACCTTCTCTGCGGCCTCCGTGATCTTAGCTAAGACAGGCCGTGGTAAAACCCTTGCCTGTTCTTCCGGCTTCCCCCAATTCCCTTCACCGCACAAGTGATCTATCGAGAGGGGGTTTTCATCCGCGTCAACCGCGGACTCCTCGCTGCGCAACAGCTCAGGAAGGATGGCCTCTAACGACTTCTTCCACCTCAGTTTCCACAGCCTATAATCAGCTGGGGAAAGGAGGCAGGCAAACAACTCTTTTAAGTCGTGGGGGACCATCTCGTTCGCGGAGAAGGTGGCTTTTAATAAACCCTTAAAGTATTCACTTCTCCTGCCGAACTCTTTCTGGGCTTTGCACAGCTCCCTCTTTGTCTGGAAGGAGAAGGGTTCCCATTCTCGGTACCTCCCTCCCCTTCCTCTAAAACTGACCGGTGCGGCAAAGGGAATCACTACCTGTTCCGGGTTCTGGTCCTCAGGCCTGTCACTTCCTGTCCCCGAAGCGTGGGAACCGGATGGGACAGTGTGGGAGCTGGGAGGAGGGACGTGGGAACCAGGAAGAGGGGCGTGGGAACCGGGAGGAGGGGCGTGGGAACCAGAAGCCGGAAGAGGCGGGGCTGGAGGACCGACTGAGGAGGAGGGCTGAAGGGAGGAGCAGCGGCCGGAAGGGGTGGGGTTTTGGGAGGTCACACTTTGGAGACACGCCCCTGAGGAGGAGGAACCACCCAAGGGGAGGTGGGAGGAGTCAGGGTAGGATGGAAGGGAGGGGCTAGGGAGGAAAGGGTTGGTCATTGAGGGAAGAAAGGGGTTCTTGGAAGAAGGAGCACAAGGGGGGGGTCCGACCATGCGGTCCCCACCATCTTGTGCCCTTTGGAGGCCATTTTGAGGGTTAGGAGAGGGGTCAGGGGATATAGGGGAGCATTGAAAACTGGGGGAAACTGAGGCACGGGGGTTAGAAGAGGAATCAGGGAACATGGAGGAGCCTTGGAGACTGGGGGAAACTGAGACATGGGGGTCTGAGGGTAAAAACTGGGGACTTGTAACCTGGGAAACGTTTAACTGAGGGTTGCTAACTGGGGAAACTGAGGAATGGGAAGACACTCTGGCAGCTTGGCCAGGGCTGCCAGGGCAAGGGTTCTGGGAGAGACGTGGGGAGCCAGGGATCCTGTTACCCTTGGGGGATCCCTGAACAGGACAACTTGCCCTGCAGGTCGCTCTGCAGGTCTCCCTCAACTCGGGATCAGGGGGAGAGGAACATGGGGATAGGGAAACTGGGGAAACTGGGGAGTTTTGTGGCGGCTGCTTCTGCATTTTCTTTTCCTCTATTACAGCAGACCGAATTAAAATAAATAATGTTACAAATTTTTCAACCGAATTATCACCTCCATTAACTATCTCCGTTAATTTTGATCCAACTGCATTCCAGAATTCTACAGAATTTGCTTTGTCTGGGGTCACATTTGGGAAATGCAGGAACAGCCATCTCACAAACCTCTTTACCCTCCCACGAGAAAACTTCTTATTCCCCCCCTCAAGGGTACCCACAACTTGGTAAAAGACTCTCTTTTGCTGTGCCGAAAGACGTGCTCCCATCTTGTCAGCCCTGGCACAGCAATCCCACCGCCCCCTGCAACCAAACGACAAATCAACGAAATAAAAACACGGGTCCGGACCGGGCTACACACACACACTCCCCCCCGAGGGAGTTTTCACACACTGGGCGCCCCCTCGTCCCACACACAGGGACCACTCACCCAAGTCCGGACGACTGTTGCAGGCGACGTCCACACCTCCCGAGGCGACCGTCTGCACGTCTGACGGCTGCCGCCTCGACCTCTGGGAGCGCAACTCGGCAAAAACGAGTCTACTACTACCAGAGCAGCTGCCGCTCACAGTCTCTGTGAAATCCACTGGAATTTGTAGATCCACCAACCTCTCCGGGGGTCTCCACGCCTCGCAAGAGGCCCCACGTTGGGCGCCAGCTGTCGCTGCCCGCTCGGCCCTTCACGCCCTGGCTAGCTTGTGCCAAGCGTCGGCGGCAGGAGTGGGGAACCAGGTGAGCACTGTGTGGCTCGACCTGGAACCTCTAGAGCTCCTTTGGGCTCGGGCTCTATAGTATGCAGGGCGACATGAGGTGCAGTAAAGGGAGAGAGAGTGCTCAGAGTCCTCCAATTTCCCAGGAACAAGTTTATTCCAGCAGGTGCAGGGAGAAGGCGATGAGGGACAGGGCTGGGATCTCGAGGAGAAAGTCCGAGCCGAGACCCTGGGCACCTCTGTGCGCCAGGTTTTAAAGCCCGTGGGCGGCTCATACAACAACCAATGATATGGCAGCAGGGGAGGTGTTGTGGGAAGGGGTTACAATACACAAATCCAATGGTAGGGACTTGGGGGAGGGAGGATAGCTATACAACCAATAGGGCATCGAGTAAGGGATGATGAGCAGGGAAGGAACCAGAACAAAAGGTGTGGTGTACATAGATTGATAGGGCTTGGGGGTAGGACCAAAGTGATGGATGGGGAACAATCTGGAAAGAGGGGAGAGGTTTACAATGACAGGCAACTGGGAACAAACCATATCGGGATAGTGGGGAGTAACTGGGGCAAACCAACTCTAAACTCAACGAAGGTGAACAAACATACTTAATGAAGGTAAACTAACAGGCAGCAACAATTTGTGGCCAATTTAAAATAAATGGCAGTATTTGGTTATTTCCTTTTGGCTGCTGTGAGTTTTGCAAGTAGTAACGTACTACTGTTTCCTACAGTCCATTTGTCTTTTCTTCCTAAGCACTCATCTCTCCTGTGCCAAAGAAAAGGAGAATTAAAAACAATTCATCTGTGTAAAGAGTTTGCAGGTGTTAACTTGGTGTTAGCAATACTTTATGCTATTACTGCTGAATCCACAGGTCTGCACTTTTAGCAAGATGTTTTACTGAGTTCTGTGGAATGTAACTGGTATGTAGATAACCTGTTTTTCACTAGAGAAGCTTTGAGCCAGTTCTGAATTTTTCTTTCAGTTAGTTCTGTATTTCTAACAACAGCAGGGCAGTATCAGCGTGACAAAATCTCAGGAATTTGAGGGGGTTTTCTTAATTTATTTCTAAAACTTACATATTAATCTTATTCACAATTCTTTCTACTTCCTTCTATTTTTCCTTGCCTGGTTTTGTACCACCACTTTATAAATGAACAAAGCATCCATCAAGGTGTTGAAGGGAGGTAGAATCCAAAGACACAGATTTGTTTGGGGCCAGAAGAGAAACCCAAATGGGGATTATGGAGCTTCTAGACATGCAGACACCTCTGGGTGCAACCACCTGAAAGCAGCACGTTGGATAAAGAACTGTAACCCTAAATCCTGGAGGCAGAAGGGCTAAAGGCCAAATCTATGGGATGTAGCCATGGCCAGTCCCCAGCCACGATGAGGAGCACTCTGATCCAAGGGCAAACAGCACAACTTCTTCCCATCCATGGGCACCCTCTGCAGCTTCCCCTCTTCTCACTGCCATCCCAAAGCTTCTCCTTTTGGGTGAGCCATCTCCCCTGTCCTCTGAGAGAGTTAATGGCTGGAATGTCAAAGGTTCAGCTGTGAAATCATGCTTAGAAGGCAAAGCTTTCTCTTTTACCCAGTGGAGAACGATGGTCAAAGTAGAGCAGCACCCCAAAGTGACATGCTGACCTGGAATCCCAATCTCCTTGCCTTACATTTTAATTTTCGCTTGTCTACCACACAAGCAAGCTACTGAGCTCTGCAGAAGGGCAAATGGAACAAGAGGGGAAGGTTGTTACTATTTTGGGTGGCTTTTTGAATGAGTTGATGATAGCCAAGAATTGATTTCATCATGACTGGGGCAAAGTACTTGTTATGCATTCACAACTCCATTCACAACTCAGCCACCAGCTCCAGTTATCAGATTGTGAATTGTTCTAGCAGAAAGATCAAAA